TTAAATATAAAGTTGAGCAACTTAAGACTATTGTCCACCAGTTGGCATTAGAATTTTGGTCTTGGCTGTGTCTGCTTCACTTGACCAAACTGATCCTTTAATGTACTCTGTTTTGAGAAAGCAGTTGTGCGGAAAACCCTGTGAAATACACGACTTGCCTCTACAGAGGTTCCATTCGGGGTTGGATTAATTCAGAGGTACTGTGCAAAACCAATACTTTCCCCCATACTGAGGACTTGCCCACCCCTTGAAGAAGCTGAGCCTGTACTTTTTCTACTTTGGGTTCTTTCCCCACAGGGGCAGGAGATGTCTATCTGGTCCAGGGTTGTCCTCCAGCATTTACCCTGTACCTGGAGTAAAACAGCTAAATTTAGACAATTTTGTGCTGCCACAAGTTGTGCTGTCAGCCAGAGTGATGTTTTTGGGATCCCTCTACCCCATTAATATATGCAGAAAAGGTGTTTTATCGTTCTTGAGGCAGCTGATTGTTGCTTAATGGAAGGTCTATTTTTATAAACAGAAACAGGAAAGCTAATGTATGAATTACTCCTAGATTTTATCTTTTTTTGGTAAATGGAAAAATTCAGGGAGCTGTTGGGACCTCTTAAGGAGTAGACTGCAGGACTCAACTGCTGGATGAATTGATTTATTTACTTATTTTTTTCATTTAGCTAAATTAAGTTGCATGTTGCTCTCTTAGAAGCTTTAATTGCTTGCTGTATTTCAGTAATGTCATGTTCATTCTGAAAAATAGGCTTCTCTGTTCTGCAGTTCTTATTTTTTGTGTCTTTTAAAGAATTTACTTTCTTTTTACTATCTTCTAATGGCAATTAAGAAGAAACTAAGTTTCAAGTCATTCTGAATTTCTCACTGACTGGCACTGAGTGCAATTCAGAATAAACTTTTATGATCCGAACTCTTACATTTAGGTCCCTAACACACATTACATTTTAAGATGTGATTAACAAGCTCTCCCTGAACCAACAAGTAAGGCACAATTGGGATCTAGTTCCTAATCCCAAAATTGCATGTCCTGCTATGCATGTGTGGTATGGTAAGATGTACCATTGTTTGGATCAGGAATTGGATCTCATCACATCTTATAGGCCCTTGACAGACTTCCACTCTATGGCATATTGCAGCATAACCTAAAATTAAGGACCATAATTTTTAAGCAGCATAATTTAAGTTGCTTGACTTCCATGTTCTGCTTGTCTCTGGCACCCTAGATAGTGCTGAGTTTCCCATTAATTTACAGCTGCATGTGTGTAGTCATTGTATTCTAAAGTCAGCCTGCTGAATGCAAGTCTAGATCCCTGGGTCTAAGGAGGTTAGTTAGTCAGTAGTCTTATTGCCTTCTAATTATCTAATATTTCGGATCCTTCCTTCTCCTGTCCTTGTGACAAGGTGTTTAGTGGAATTCGCAGATTTGTTGGAATCTGACATGGTCACACTGTGAGTGCTTCTCCTATGGCCTCAAACTTGTGACTTCTGGTTTGTCAGCCATGCATTTGAGCTCTTGCTACTGATCTGCTCTTAGTTCCATATAAATTATATAACCTAACACCTCCTTGGCAGCAATATAACTAATCCTTTTCCGTTTACCAGAATGAACTTTTCAAAAGGGTAGTGCAAGGGGTTAGTTCTCACCAAACAGTTTATTGATTAGAAATCAAAATGTATCTTCTATTTTGGATCACTTTACCATTCAAATATGTTCTTAAGTTCTAACAAATATGAAGATGGAAATCCCAACATTAATGCTGTAGCCATTTTAGCTTCTTTATAGAAGGGGGTGTGTGAGTACCATATTTACCTAAATATAAGATAATCCTGTGACACCCTCCAATAATCAGATTCTACTACAGTAATGGAAAATGTGTACATTTGTTATAATTTTCCATGTATACAATCTTATTATTTGGAGGATTATCTTAAATTTGTCTACCCCACTACTGCAGGCAGTAGAGGGGACAGGCGATGAGGAGAGCAGTAATTGGGCAGGCAGTAGGTGGCATACATGGTATGGCAGGTAGGTGGGGCGAGTGGGGGAGGCAGTAATGGGGCAGGCAGTGTGGGAGATGTACAGCTTGCCTCTGCCCCCACTTCCCCTTCTCTGTGCTGCTTCTGCCACCCCACAGCCCTGGATCCCAGACCTCCCCTGCCCACTTGTTGCTCCATCTCCCCCTTACCTTTGCATCGGGGCTGGCAGGCTGCAGCCTGGGGCATGAATAGAGTGGCTGTCACAGAGGACATTCTGTTTTTCTGCTACTCTGTCCTCCATCCTCTATTGATATGAAACCCAATGCCTTTATAAAGGCCTCTGGTTTCGTATCGATAGAGGACAGCGGGACTGTCCTCTGTGATGGCCACCCTAGGCATGAAGCACAGCTCCAGCCAGCCCCATAGCAGTGGCATGGAGCCAGCTCAGCTGCTATAGGTCCTGGCTGTGATCTGGGCTGCAGCAGAGATGGAGCCTGCCAGCACCAGAGCAAAGGGAAGGGAGGGTTCAGTGTGGGGTGAAGGGCAGATGGGCCAGTGGGAGGCTGTAGGGGAGGAGGGGTGGGGGTATGCAGTGCAGGCAGCAGCTGCAGGTCTAGCCTTGACCCAAGGCTGGGGCTAGAGCTGTAGCAACAGAGCTGTAGCAGATGCCTGCCCCCTCTTACTTGATTTTAAGATGGGCTTCCCCCCGTGTTAACTAGAGGGAAAAACTTTGTCATTTGTTTAAGTAAATGTGGTATGTATACAGAACCTGAATAATGGACAAATGTCAGCTTTTGAGACTTTTGGGCGGAGGGGGACAGAAATTACACCCGACTAGAAGCAACATCAAGCTTACGGCTTGGCTAGTGGGGACTAGGTGGTGGAGTGTGTGGCTGGTGTGTGGGTTTTTTGTTTTTGTGGCTTTTGGGGAGGTAGGGTAGTGGTTTTAGTCTATGGAGGATGGGTTTGTGTTAGTAACTTGGCTGTTTACTAATAAGTCTATAATTTGAACTCTTTTCTCACTTTTGATTAAGCACTGTTTTAAACCTAAAGCAAAAGACTTATTTTAAGTGTGAAGAGTGGGTAATTTTGATATATGTAGATTGAAACATCCACATTTCTAAGTAATAGATAAAGAGTATGTTTTGGAAAGCCTGCTTCAGTATCACCATATTTATTGATTTCCAGTCTTAGCAACCAAAAGTTAGGGTGAGACAGTGGGTGTATAGTAGCAAATACCTAATGCTTTTATTTTCTAATAAGTAGTAATGCTTGTTTTTTGCACAAGTAACAGAACTATTTCACCCTTTTTTTGTAGTGGTTATCTTAAAATAAGCTGTTTTGGCAGTGTTGGTGTCTTTTGGTAGGTGTGTGTGATTGTTTTGTTTTTTGTTTTTAATGCTAAAACTATGCAGAGCAAAGTATTTGAAAAACCATACTAAACGAGTGTTGCGTTTTCAGAACTATGTGCAATAATGACAGAACTGTTGCTCCTGTAATTGATACCTGACAATGTTTTAATTTATGTAAGGACAAACCTCTGCTTGTTCTTGTGGCTGTTTTAATATGAAATGCATAAGTCATCCTTGGAATAAAGATAAGGACCTAAAAATCTAAAAACACAGTGCAAGTTCATGTACATAGAGTCTAATATTTGCTAGAAGCTGGAAGTTCACTGGTTAGAAATGACTGAGGAGGAAAAGGACCTGGGTGACTGTATTGGACTTCGGTTGGCTATATACTGATAATGGCACGCATCTAAGAGAAAAAGGCAAATATATCCTACAATCGCATCTCAACCCTCCTTGGATTCTGGAGGTGCTTCCAGTCTAGAAAGGGAAGTGTTAGTTCCTTTGTACAAGACCTTGATGAGACCTCCTCTGTAGTACTATGTAAAATTTGGATCTCCCATATCTTGAGCAGGGAATGCAACTGGAACATTTGAAGGCTTTTTTCCCTTGGTCATTATACTAGCCCATAATATAAAATAAAGGCCGTGGTTTGTTTGTGTAGCAAAATGAAGGCGGGTGGGGTGGGGATGGCGGGAAGTAACTTGCTGACTAATGGGAATGGAAGGGACATAAGGACAGGAGCTATTTCAGCTAAAGCACAATTCTGGCATAAAAACAAATGGGTATAAACTGGCTATGAGCAGAATAAAAAAGCGGATATTGTTGCAGTGGCAGCAGTCTAGACTGACCCAGGCGAGGTCCCTTCAGAGCCTGTATTCCTACGATTGTGATGGTGAGAGTTTTTCCTGCCTCCACTAACAAGTTTTGAGTTAAACTGAGCTCCTTTGTCAATAAAAACAAAACCCCTCAAACATCAGGAAAAAAATCTTGTTGGGGATATTATGTGGCTCTTTCCTGCTTACGTTTTTGTGAGGTTTTATTTCTCTAGGATCACAGATAAGATCTGATGGCAGTGGTTTCAGTGAGTTTTCCAGGAATAATATAGGTCATTGTTTCTCATAAACAATCTTTTAATTTTTCTGTGCGTCAGAAAACTTGCTGAAGAAATCTCTTGTGTTGTCCCACTTGGCATATCTTTGCATATCACTAAGTAATGCTGGGATGCTATGCTGGCTTCGAGTCTCCTGAAATATCAGTCTTGTTTGTTCACTGGAGTTACCTTTCTCACTACAAATCTGAGAATAGAGTAAAATTGCCATAGAATAGACTTTTTGTTTCATCTAGGAAAATGGCAGTGAGGGCCAAAAACCCATTTTTAAAACATAACAGAAAACCATCCTATGACAGATCATTTTAAATACATCCACTTGAGATGGTGACTTTTCCCTACCATGTAATTAGTTACTGTCAGTTATCAACTGCTGGAAACAGGCCCTGTGTATTGTCACTGTGAAACACATTTCTTTTTTGTAAGCAAATCTGTAATACTGTTTTTCCTTCTATAATTAGGGAGCACATGAAAAATGACTACAGGCACTCTAGAAGACTTGTATTCACACATGCTGAAGGAGGTCTAACAGTCTTCTGTATTTTTCCCCTTGTCTTCCAGGGACTCCAACCGTCATGTTAAGGTAAAGCAGAAAAGTGCAGTGCTGAACATGCTAAAGAGGTTGGACAAAATAAGGTTCAGAGGTCATAAGAGAGATGAGTTCCTTGATTTAGCAGAGTCTCCAAATGCTTCAGATACTGAATGTGGAGATGAAATTCCAGTGAAAATACCTCGAACATCACTCCGAGAAAATGAGGAGCTAAGAGACCCTGTAAGTATTCAGTCTAATTTTTATAACCTGTATAATGTTATATAACTTATTGTATGATGTATAATTTTACAGTATTTGATATTTCATGTTGTTTTTAATTCTGCATGTGTGGGAGGTGGTATTTTTAGTGTTTTTAATTGACAAGTAATAAAATACGTAACTTGCTTGTTGCTTTTTTACAGTAATTTGTAGCCTGTTGCCTTCTGTGAAAATATGCTAGATACTGGAGTTCTTTATTTCTGTTGCCCTTTTTTTGTCTTTTGCTGGTTTAAAAGTTAGCATGGCATTAGGAGAGGAAGCAATATTTGGTGCTACTTTATTTATCTACGTAATTATGGATGCCAAAACTGGAATGCCCTTTTAAAAGGGACTGGTGTTTCAGGAAGTGCTAAACACCTCTGAATATTAACCCTATTTTAAACTCAGATTCTATAAATTTCTGCTTGCGAGTTTGTTGCATGTAGTAAAAAAACAAACAAACTATGAACACCCAAAGAGCAGCTAATGATTTGGGATGCTTTTCTAAACATGTGGACACCTTTTGAGTAAGGTGTCTGAAAGGTATTCACACGTTAAGAAATGCATCCCAAATCATTAGCTGCTGGGGGGCGAAAGGGGTGGGGGAACGGAGTTGACTGCATGTAATAAACTTGAAAGCAGGAATTTAAAGAGGCCACTTCCAGAGTTTGAGCCTGACCTGGATAATGAAATCCATACTCCATCCACTTGGATGTAGGTTATGTTTGTTATTACCTTTCATATAAAGAGGCTGACAACACCCCAGCAGTACAATGCTCCCAAACTTCTTGCTGATGCATTAGATCAGTGTTGGTGTGTAGACTTGCAGCTAGTTACATCTGCTACATCTAGGTGTCAGTTCCTTGATTTCCTACTTTTTGACACGTGGGTGGGGAAGTAGGGGGGTTTCTGCCATTACTTGATAGGGACTAGAGGATAATAATTGGAGATGTTCTGGTAAAATGACAAATATTACTGCTGTATTTTGGTGTCTGTTGGCCAGCTCTGGTTTAAGTGGGTCAGCAAACATTTTTAGTTAAACCAGTTTGGCTAGCGAAGTACAAATGAATGCGTTTCATGTGCTTGTGTATGTATGCTTTTAACTGCGCATTACCAGGAGAACCTGAAGAGTAGGAAGATAATGACTGGATTCGGTGCAAGGGCTATTGAATCTTGGCAACAAATAGACTGAAGGCACATAGATATTACAAGTACTAGGTGCCATTTAAGTATTTTAGAGTAACACACAGTGAAAGAAGAATGTTACATCTAATTGTAATTCTTCTGGGCAAGCCTGTAGGTGTTGTTTCCTTAAAAGCTCAATTGGCAACATAAGCAAGCAGCTGTGGTCTGGCTGAGTTCTGTAACCACAGAGTCTGCAATGGAAAACTAGTGCTCCTTTATACAAACCATTAAAAAGGTAGATGATAAAACAGACGTTGTCTCGGTAGAATGACCCTGAAGTTTTATGGATTAATATTCTGGTCAAGGTACAGAGTCAATATTTATTCACTTTTACTATGAAAAATAATTCCAGATCTCCTTCCACCTTGTTGCATCTTTGCTTGTCCCAGCATTGCTTCGGTCTACCTCAAGGTCTGATGCTCTCCACCTCGAGTTCCAAAATCTGCTGTGCCTTCTCTCATCACTTACCTTGAGATTTTGTTCTCTGTGCTATCTTGCCCAAGATATCAGGTCTTTCATAAAGGTCCACAAGTTCTTGATTATGTCTTCTCCTCCCATACTTTGTTTTATTGTCCTGCATGAAATAATTTCTTTAGCACTTTGTTTTCAAACACTTGCAACATTTTTCCACTTGCCTTTGTTAGTGTCCAAGATTCATAGCTATATAAAGGAACAGGCTGAACAATTGTACTATAAAAAAGTTGGATTTTAAAAGTGTCTTGAGGTTTTTTTTCCTCCCTCCTTGGTGCTGTTATTTTTATCTGGCGTAAATGGTCATATATTAGCACTGTAAATTCTTGCCTTGCCTTTCTTCAGTTATTTGATTGTCCTCAGTGATTATTGTTCCTAAATACTTAAATTTCTCTACGTTTTCCACATTATCATTCCCTATTTTTATCTTTGTCATCTTTTTTATTTCTACTTGCTTTCATGTAGTTAGTTTTGTTGACATTGACAGCAAGCCCAACTTCTTTTCGCTCTCTGGTCTTTTGTACTGTTCCTGTTTCTTCTTCTGCTAGGCAGATATTGTCTGCGTAAACAAATACCTGGTGCAGTCCATTCAGCCTCAGACCTTTTCCTTCTTCAACAACCAGGAAACTATAGGCCAGTTAGTCTTACCTAGATCCTGGGCAAGCTTTCTGAGAGAATTATTCTGGTGCGTGTTCACGAGGGGCCAGCAGGGGAGATTATGCTTAGGGGCAACCTACACGGGTTCATTAGCAGCAGGTCCTGTCAGACCTACCTGGTGGCCTTCTATGACCAGGCCACCAAATCCTTAGATGCAGGGGTATCAGTGGACATAGTCTTCCTGGACTTTTGGAAGGCCTTCGACACTATGTCTCGCCCTGTTCTCATTAAGAAACTGGGGGGCTGTGGTGTCGACACCTACACAGTCAAACGGGCCCCCAACTGGCTGGAGGGCCGCACCCAGAGAGTGGTGGTGGATGGGTCATTTTCGACCTGGAGGGATGTGGGCAGTGGAGTCCCCCAGGGCTCGGTCCTCGGGCCCGCGCTGTT